AAGCAGTCAATTCAAACCTCTCCAGCAATGCTGGGTAGCAGTGTACATGTCTGTGTATAAACCAGGCGCTGCCATCTGGAGATGGTTTCCCATTTTGGTGCACTCAGCACCCCCAGGATGGAGCAGGATGTGTCCCATTGGGAAAGCATTGTGTCCAATGGGCACATTCCTGAGAATGGCTGGAGAGCAAGAAGTGCTTATTAGTGTATTCCTGCATCCCAGCTTCATCAGATCAAGTGTATGGAAGGCTCAATGAGTCCTTGAGTTATTCCTTCCCAGTGATTACTGCAGCTGAAGAGCCCATTACTTACAGAGCATGTGGTGCAGCTCACTTATTGCCTCTGTGAGGCTGATTCAGATGATTGGAAAATTAAATGGAAACACAATGCGAAGCTGCAGCTCTCAGAAGCCTGGGGACAGGAGGACTTGCTGCTCTTCTGACCATTCACCCATCCACACATTTCTCTGCCTTCGCTCTCTGCAACCTGGGACCCCCCACTGCAGACCTGCAGGCCCAAGAAACAAGACAGCTCCCAGGAGCAGCACAACTGCCCTTAATGAGCCTTCCCAGAGTGCCCTCATTAGTGGGAAGCAGCAATTCACCTACTGGCATAGCCCCTGCATCCCCCAGGGAAAGGCCATAGCTTCCCCTCAAGGCAATCGTGACAAAGGACAAATGATGCTTTCTGCATCAGCACCATCAGTCTGCAAAGTTAAAAACAACAACAACAACAACAAAAGCACACAGACAGATAATTAAAAAAATCACAATTTCTGGGATTTCTGCACACCTCATTAGGCAGGATGTTGCCCCATCCCTGGAGGTGTTCAAGGCCAGATTAGATGGGGCCCTGGGCAGCCTGGTGTGGCATTAGGTGGGAAGGTTGGTGGCCCTGCATGTGGCAGGGGGGGTTGGAGATTCGTGATCCTTGAGGTCCCTTCCAACCCTTGGCCATTCTGTGATTCTGTGATGCTCATATCCTGCTCAAAGTGTCACCGATAGCAGCAACGAAGCACAGAGCTCAGTGTGTGGGACAGCACGGCGATCCCAGCACAGCTCCTGCTCTGTGTGCTGCTCTTATGGTCACACTCTGGCACAGCCAGGTTATCTGATTGCAATGTTTGACTTTTAAAATGTGAAAGTTAATAGGCTCCCATCATTGGAACCACCGCCGAGGAAAGCGTGAATACCCATCCGGGCGAAAATCAAAAGGTGATCGATCCAAAACATTTTTAAAGACTGCATTTCCCTCTGAGGTAAAAGCAAATGGGATTCTGCTCCGTGCAGTAACGGGAAAGGTTTATTACACGCATTAGCTAAGCTGTCAAATAACTTCTGATAGTTACGGTGAGGTTCAGCCACTGCCCGGCGGAGCTGCTGCCTTCCAGGGAGCAATTCATGAACACACAGATGGGCATCTGGCAGGAGGCAGCACCCATGAGCATCCATCTGCCCGAGCCCAGCACACAGAGCAGCGATGTTCCCCCCCCCCCCCCCCCCCCCCCCCCCCCCCCCCACCTACCTGTGGCTTTCAGCGCCGGCGGCTCACCTAGCAACAGCTTTAACCTTTTGGCATGGATTTTCCCTTGGTAATGCGATTCAGCCACCACTGCTGAGGTAAAAGACATGTTACATAGCGTGCAGCATTTGTTCTTATCCACCGAGTCGCCGTCGCTGCCCTGCAAGGAGATGGAAAACACAAGAAAAAGGTGCATCATCCCCAGGAAGGAGGAGGAGGACCTGAGTTATGTCAGCTCCGTGCTTCCCATGGCTCCCTCCACCCACACAGACTCACTCCCATCCAGCTTGATGGCCTCCATCTCCATTTCACATCAATTCCACGGGCAGCTGGTAAATGCCTTCCACGATTTGCCCAAATGAAGAGATAGAAGATGAGCCAGGCACTGTGGTTGGTCCAGTGCTGGACAGCCAGCAATGCTCTCAAGCATGGGTTCCCTTTTGCAACCACACAACAGCACCCAAACTGCAGTGACACAGAGCCCCTATGCTCTATGAAGCTATTCCACAGCTATGGAATGGGACAGAGGCATTGAGTGAGGACAGCAAGCTCAGAGCTGAACCTGCAGCCTAACCCAGCCCATAATCACGGTCATCCTTCCCTAAGAAAGAAGCATAATTAGAAGGAGGACTGATTTTCATCGCTTTTTTTGTTATTAACTATAAATCAACTTAAACCATAGGGAGAAATCTCAAGAGGTGATAAGTACTGTTCTGTGTGCAATTTGCAGCTCTTTTAAGCAGGATTCTCTCAAGATATTTTACGTCTTCAAAGAGAAATCACTTGAAAGTTAAGAGCAGAGTGAAAAAAAAATTCCCAGCCTCTATTGATCATCAGCAGTGGTAACATATACAGAGCCTCCAACAGAGACCGTTTGAAAACCTGATACACTTCAGTGTGTAGCAACAGGTTCTCTCCTCTTGTTCTGCTCTTTGGCAACGATTTTCTCTTTCCAATCCAATTTCACAGATAGGCTACAGTTAAAAAAAAAAAAGCTTCAAACAACCCCTGGACCTCTCAGCTTCACGGCTACACCAAAGGATGCTTGTGGGAGAGGATTTGAGAGCATGGGTGGGATCTCACCACCAGACCAGGGATGCTGGGAGCATCCTCAGACACCCACCCCCAACAGCAGTGCAGCATCACTCCCTGCCCTGCCATGCCCTGAAGGGTAATTATGCCTGGGCTCTTTGTCAGCGGCTGTTTTACCTGTAACCAGATGGACTGGGGGGGAGGGGGGAGAAAACTGACCCGGTGTCTTTTGTCACCCCGCTGATTGATGCCTCGCTGATGGGGTTGTGCAGCCAAGCGGTAAAACAACATCACTTGTCAACCAGGGCACAGAGCCCGGCAGCTCCCCATGGCCTTTGTGCTGGGGGGGGGGGACACAAGCCTGCAGCATCCCTAACCCTGCTCAGCCCAAAACACAGCAAGCAGGCTCCATTTAGTTCCATGCAACCCGCAGCAGCCGCTGCACAAGCTGGTGTGCAAAGGATTTTTCTTCCTACCGACTGCTTCTGTGGCTTTCTCCTGGTAATCCTTCCTCTCTACCCTTTGCAAAGCTGGGGTAACAACTTCCATCAGCCACAGGGCAGCACAGCCCTGGCAATCACTGCTTCCCAGCTCTGACTCTGCTCTGCAGCAGTGCAGGACGGCCCAGCATGCAGGGGCTTTTCTTTGTGACATTACAAACTTCAAAGCAAATCTCGTGCGTCCAACAGAATTAGCTTCAGCTATTCAGCTGCCTGTTAACAGCTGCTAAAAGGCATAATCCTCACACAGGGCCAGGCAGCAGCAGTGCTTTGCTGGATGTTCCCAAAGCAATCCTCAAGAAAAGTATGGATTTTTAATCCGGAGATACAGATCTGCTGTCTGCATTTCTTGGGTTTTACTGAGAAGAAAAAGATTATCCAAACCCTTGAGATACAGCAGTATGGCACGCAAAGCACTGCAAAGTGTCTTAAATTTGAGTTCATTTTCTGTGCATGAAGAAGGTTCTGCTGTGAAGGTGCTAGCAGGAATGCAGGATATTTTTCTACTCCCCCAAAAAACCAGCAGATAGAACTCTCCACGCCATTGAGAGGCCAGGTAGCAAACACTGAAACTCTCAAAGCCTTTTTCGTGGAGCATCTACAGCTGCAGAAACTTCTCTTTCTTGCTGTGATTCGTGGAAGGAAACCAAAGTATTTCGGTTTTACAGCCTAAAGGAACAACAAAAATGCAGCTCTGCAGCAGTGCAGCTTTTTTTTTTTTTTTTAGTGGCAGAAATGGACTTGGTTTGCAAGGATTCTTTCTAATATTCATTAAAGTCAGCACGTCACAGCTTGACTGATACTGGTAGACATCTGAGCTGGGCAATGCAGCTGCATTCTTTATGCAGTAATGATGTTACTCTGCTGCCTCAGAGATGTCCTAAATATTTCTGTTCCCCCTGCATGCAGAATCTTGGATAAAGCTGATAAGCAACAGGACTGCTTTGCAAATACGGAGCTGTAAACATTGGCAGATTTTCCCTGCTACGTTGTTATGATATTAATAACTTCAGAATGTAGGGCTGGTGTAGCAAATCACCCACTTGGTTCATAAGGACTCAATTCAGCCCCATTAAAGGCTGCCCTTGGCACAATCAGCACTGAATTACCTGACTTCTCGCCGTGCCTTCTTATAAAAGAAATGGGAAGTGGTTCAGCTTCGACTTACTTAAGGTCTATTTGCTTCTGTAGTCACCATCCCAGTGTGCTGAGGTGTGTGTGTGTGGGTCCAGGGTTCATTAGATGTAAAGGAGCTCGTTAAAGAATTACGTTCTGAGTCTATATGTGCGTGTCCACTCCATCTTTCACATCCTGCAATTAATCCCTCAATAAAAACAGCACGAGACCCCGTTGTGATGGGGCAGATTGCACCTGCAATTATCCCACGTGCGACAGAAAAGTTGTGCTAAAACTTTAATTACTGCGTGAAGGAGCTTTCAGATCCCTTTGGCAACTCTTGCAGGCTTCTGCCTTTAATTAGAAGATATCTTGCTAAATGTTGATGGCGTGAGGCACAGCCACACGTGGATGCTGTTTGCTGCAAGCTCAGCAGCAGCACTCGTGCAGCCCAGCACATGGGAAAGGATGGATGCAGCAACTCCCCAACCTGCAGCACACCCTGACCTGGCTGCTGCAGGCTGCTCGGTCCTTGTGAAGCTGAATAAATATCAGATATTGGCTGCCAACGTATTCTTTTTCCAATGAAAGAGCATTGAAATAACTAAAAATGCAATTACAGCTGCTGGTGCACATCATATTTCTTGTACAGTTTACTGAGAGTTATTTCCAGTTACTTAGCGTTGTGGCTAATCTAAATGTTACCTCTGGGGACCTGATTATCTGCAGCAGTTACAACAAAATGCACAGAGGCAACGGTTCATGGGAGCAAACAGGGACTGGAGGTATACCCACGTTTTCTGAGCGGAGTTTTTTGGCTGGACAGCCTCCATCGATGGGGTGAAGCATGTAATAGAGGCGAACTTTGCTGGCATGTTTCCGACTCTGGAAAATAAAAAGGGAAAAAAGGAAGAAATGAGGTTTCAAAAAGCAAACCTGCCGCGTACAAAACCAAACTGCAGGGATGTTTCACGTCCCGTTGAGAAGTGTCTCCAGGTGAAGGGACACCCGCATCTCGCAGAGGTGACACAGAGCTGAACTTAAAGTGGGCTCAGGGCATCTGCTGCCTGCACTCACAGCTCTGTGCTGCCCCTGGATATGGGGAAATAGAAGAGGTGAGAGGAGAGCAATGGTTGTTATCAGCCCGTTTCCATTCCAGGAGGGACCGATGAGATCGGGGCCATTTGGCTTCAGGAGGAGATGGGATGGCATCACTAGAGATAGGATGCACGCACGCAGACAGAAGCCCGCAGTTCTTTCACTTCCAACAGAATAAAATACATAAAGGGAATAAAATCTCACTCTAGGAAATAAGCCAACTGATACCTGCCAAAGGTTTGAAAGAAATTTCCCCCGCGGGTAAATTACCAGATAATTGTGCATTATGTGAAACCTCCTGCTCTGCTGGGAAGCAGCTGCTGCTGGCCCCGCATCACCCTGCAGACAACACTGCCAGGACCTGGTCCAGCTGCAGCCACAAAGGGATGCTGGGCTGCTCTGTGTGCACAAGGAGGGGAAAGGTTCTGCAGGAGCAGCACGGGCACCTCCTGAGCAATAACACCATTGGGGAGAGCAGCCTGAAGCCACTAAATGTGTGCATCCATGGCCCAGGCGTGCGAGGCAGCTATTATTATGCAAATGTTTCTCCCAATCTCCATTTCTGATTGCCTCGCGGAACAACGGCCCCGTAATATTATAATTTCAGATCACAGATTTGCAATTTTAAAATATTAAATTATCATTAGCATGTACTGGAACATTCTTCTTCCCGCGGTGTGAACTCGGAGCTAAATTGGCACAGAGGCTAAATTTGAATGCATAAATGTGACTACGCAATAATTTATTATTATTATTTTTTTTTTAATGGAGCAAATCAGTCAAGATAAATAATGACAAATCTCTCTCCCTTACTCCTCTTCCTGCACGCATTTAGGAAATGCTGTTTTACCCTGGCAGAGCTCAGCTCTACGCCTGCTGCTCTGAATGGGGCACAGGAAACCCCAAAAGCTCCACCTCCCGATGATTAGCAGCCCGGATGGCGGTGGCATAATTAAGGGATGACATCAGAAAGGTTTGGAAGCCAAAGGACAGGTGTGTGCTGTCTGGCTGTGTGCAGCTACAGCCGCTGAACTCAGCAGTTGCAAAGTTTTCCTGTGTTTTGTTCTGGGTATAAAACGCTTCTCACTTTATTTATGCATTTGTTCAGATTTAAGAATGCCAAGGAAAAGGAATAACCAATGTTTGGCATCATTGTAAACGACACGCTCCTTATGCAGCCTTATTATCCTACGGTTATAAAAGCAGAGCTTAAAATCATCCCTGGCTTTTACCAGTCAGCAGTGAGTGTCTCATTCCCTCTGAGGAAGCAGAGGTAGCACAGCCCATTTGTCAGCCCGCGTTATCTCTGGCCTTCCCCACATTTACACGTGCATTTATCATTCTAACACCACAGCCAGAGCGAAGCAGTGACCCTTGGTGTGCTGCTCACCAACAGCCCTGCTGGTTTTCTCCTCCCCTCCACAGAGCCACCAAACCCAGACACATAGGGAGGGTGAGCATCGCTAGCAATGCTCCACAACAGCGATGCTCTGCAGCCACAAGATGAGCTGTGTGGGGTTTGCTGGGTTCCAGCCCTGGAGAACAGATGGGAAGAGCAGCGCTGCTGGTCCAGGAGGTGCTCAGCACCCACCCAAGTGCAGGCACCAAAGGAGCATCCGCACACAGGGAACACCAAATTGGGATGGATGGGATCACACAGATCTCATTCTGGTCCCTCTCACGAGCCTTAGAAAAGAAAAAAAAAAAAAAGCAACAACTTTGACACAGACGTAAATTCATGGTCTTCAACAAGAGCACTGCCTTTGAACACGTCTGCTCCTTCATCAATAGGCACCACAACTTCATCTTAAGAGTTTCTGTGCTTCTCAGTGTTCTTTTTGTAGAGCTACAAAGCGTTATGCCAAAGGCATTTTCACTTCAATCCTCTGTCTCCAGTGTCTGCAGACAGCTCCTGTAACGGGGAAGAAGTCTACAGACTACATCAGTACTGCACACCTCAAAAACACCCCTCTGAGTGGGTGGGGGAGCTCCAGAGGAGGCTGTTTTCACATAGCAACTGCAAGCTCATCTATTGTTGGAAGGCTCATCCATAAAATTAGGCAAATGGATCATTTATATCTCTATCAAATCTATTCTAATCCCAAGGACTGCGGCAGAGGCAGCGGCATCCCAGAGATTCAACCTCAACAAATGAAAGGGCAGAGCCCTAAACGATGCTAGGAAATGCAATCTGATTCTGCATAAATCAAGTTTTGCAGCACAGCTCTGTCCTGAGCACACAGCAGGAGCAGACAATGTGGACTCTGTGGGCAGACAACAGCTGAGGACCCGTGGCTGCAGATGAGCCCTGGGACGGAGCAATGATTTCTGCTTTTGCAGCCAGGACAGGGAGGGATGAGAGATGAGAGCTCAGGTTTACAGAGGATTTGCTCACTTGCTGCAGTAACTGAACAGATTTTTGTGCATTTCCCAGCAGCAGTGTCCTTGGGAAGGATCTCAGCAGGTAGGGAGTTTCTGACAGAGACTTTGGCTCTGGGCTGCAGCTCACAGCAGCCCCAGGGTCTGTTCCCACCCAGCACCGCTGACATGAGAAGACCTGACAGCTGCAGGTATTTCACCAGCTTCATCCCAACCACCCCACCAGGTTCAAACTGCTCTGCTGCCTTCCTTGAACTGCAGCTGTTTCTGATCCACCTCCTCCTGTCCCACAGTTCGTTCATTCCCTGCTCTGCACCCAATGCTCACTGCAGACCCCAGGCACAGACAGGGACAAGAGAAGGAAATGAGAGCAGAAGGAACTGTGAGGGCAGCACTAATGGCTGTGGCATCGCTTCACCTGCAATAAATTCTTCCCCACAAGCTTGCTGGTTGGCTTTTAATCCTTTTAGCGTGCGCTGTTACCTTTTTTTTTTTTGTACGCTGTCTGTTTCTTAATTAAATCATCACAAAACATGCAGTCATACAATTACATCAACTGCATCATCTGTAGGCGCCCTACTTGCGACCTCCTCATAAGAGATGAAGGTCAGCTCCATGCAGAATGCCAACCATTCCCCATGGAGCCCCTCCTGGAGCTGCAATACCCCCAGGGACCCCTTCCACTGGCCAAGAACCAGCAGTGACAGCACTGGGCATGGGAACAACCCCTTTCTGGTCAACTGGGTTGCAAACAACTGGACCCAGTAAAGCAATAGTCTGGATTTCAAAATCTATTTAACAATCTTTCAAATTTCTACTGGAATGGAACCAACTTCTCCCTCGTTCCGTGATATAACAACATCCTCTGCTTTTTTTTTATTTAAAGAGAGGACAGAAGTATTTTCAGAAATCTCCTTCCTTTTTTTGCTTCCCCTGCCCACACAACAAGCAAACACTATTGTCAGATCCCCGTTGGTTGCAGAGACAAACTCCGTCTGTTATTCCAGACGCTGCTGGGTGCCAATGTCCTTTTTTCTCTCTTTGTAATTTTTGCAAAGCCTCATTTATAATTGATGGTCATTTCTATCCACTTCCCCTTCTTCCTCCGTCAGTTAATTTTTTAAAATGTGTCTGTTCATACTTGTGACTTTGTGAGCACACGGAGACGTGTCCGTAATTCCCAATTGCGTGCAACTGAATTTCCACCACCAGGAAATGCTTCTTTACAGCAACAGGTGGAAACGCTGCCAGTTTGGACACTAATCTGCCCACACAAAGACAATGAGCTTGTGAACTATTCGACACCTGCTCAGCATGCATTCTCTACCCATCAAACCCAGAGCACTCCCTGCTCCTGAGCCCCATAGAAGCAGCCTTGCTGGGTGCCACAGGGACCCTCTGTAGGTTGACTGCACTGCCAGCACGCAGCGATGGTCCTGGCACCGGGTGGGAAGCAGCACCAGAAGGGTTAACACAACCACAGCATCTCCACATGGTGCTCACCCAGCACCCGGTGCTGAGAGCAGCAAACAGCAGCAGCTCCTGCTCTCATCGCATCCCCACGTGCTTGAAACAAATCACTTTTAAAGCATGTCAGTGCAAATCGCTGCTCTGCCCCCGTGCAGTACGTGGGCAGGCTTTGTCACAACACACAGACAACTGAAGGCTCTGCTTTCAAACACCTGGAACCCAAATCCAAACACGGCTTGTGAGTTTAAAATATTAAAGGAAAGCGGGAATCGATACCTGGTACACAGCAATGCCTCCCTGAGCACCATCAGCACAAAGCAATGTGCCACTGCCTCCAATCCACAGCCACTCTGGCTGTTGGGGGCATCCCTGGGGCTGCTCCATGACCTCTGCCCCATGAGACCCAATCCCCCGTGCATTTGATTTCTCAGCAGTCCAATGAACTTGGGCTGTTTTCAGCCAGAAATGAGACTTGCACAGAGGAGCTATGGAAAAGGAGCAGGGTGAGAAGGCTTTATCTGCGTTGCTGCTATTTAGCAATAGATTTGGACACTGGGAGTGCGTTAAAAATAATGTTTGGCCATTAATGTTGACAACAGCACAGTAACACGGAGCCTCGTAAAGTACCAGCTGAAGCTAAAGAGGTTTCCTGAAGCAGCTCTGAGCGTGCAGAGAAGGCAAGGGGCATCACAGCAGCCCCCTCCCCTGTAATTGCTGACACCAATGCACACCTCCCACGGACACTGCTGGGTCACACACACCTCACTGTGCTTCCCTGGCTGCTGGCACACGGCACAAAGCAGTGCTGAGGCAGCCTGCAGAAGGTCTCTGAGCTCACATACGGGAACAGAACAACACCTACAGCAGATTTGCATCCAAACGGAGCAAAAATTCTTTCCTTGGTCTCTTTGTAAAGTTGGAGCAGACACTAAAAACTGTGTCATCCAGCACAACAAAGCCAATCCTCTGCATTTGTATGGAAGGACATAGGCACAACGTTGGACACATTCTCTCCTCCTCCAGCCCCTATGAAATCAAAGGTTGCCCTCTACAACACAAACCCAAGGGGCAAACAGCATTGCTAGCACCATTACTGTTCCCCCACCAGCACACAGCCAGCACCAGTGGGCACCAGCGTGTCTTTTCTGACCTCCCACCCTGGAAATGCCCACACAGCATCCCTATAGGGAGCTCCCACCAGACACAGAACATCCCTGCTCCCTGTGTTCTGCTGCAACATGTATTCCGTTAACAGGAATTCGTGCTCTTAGGTTAATATGTGTTAATATTTCAGATACAGGATTGGCTTTCTGAGCACACACATCTTGCTCCTGAGTGCCAATGGTAAACAATGTTTATTATTCCTCCAGACAAGCCATCATTCTATGCAAAATGTCCCGGAGCAGGACAGACTGGTGGAAGCTGATTAAGTTGGGCACCACGCAGACGAGCAGCATTGATGGGGTTGTTGATGCTGCCCACCCTGCTCACCGTGGCAGGGTGAGAAATTCCAAAGAGCACTCGGCTCCCGGCGATGAGCCAAAGGGCAGAACAATGTATTTGTTCCTTGAGTTTGCACTGCATTTCAATTTTAATACACCTTGCCTCTGCCCTCCCCCTGCCTCCACAGCTTCACGCCACAAGGTGAACCAATAACAGCAAATCCACGTGATGTAATCCTGGGCATCTCTTCTTACCAGCCTGCTGTATTTCTTCATTTTAAATGAAAAAGTAAAGTACTGCCTGAACACCTGAAGCAATAAAGATTACCATGAAGGAAAGCGTTATAGCAGCTTAAGGAGCAACGTAGTGATGAGCGTGCAGCTCAAGGTGGAATCTGAGAGCAACTTTGCATCGTTGGTAATTTTCCTGCATGATTTTCGAGGAGAAACTTGAAAATGAAAGGTAACATCTTTCTAATGGCTGCGAACGCCCTGTGTGCAGCAGTGAGGACTCGGAGCTAACTAAGGAAGCTTATCTTTCTGATGTACAGAGCAGCACACCAGAGGGACTGCTACAGCCCTGTCTCAAAGACAGAAGTGGAAGGAAGTGTTAAATTATGAGTGTTTGGATGCAGAAGAGCAGAAATCCTCTCCGGAGCGAAGGATTTCAGTGCAGTTGCAGCAAATGAACCACATTTCTTCCTCCCTCTCCTCTGCTTGGCACCTTCCAACATTACTGCTGGCCTCTGATTTCTCCCACACGTGGCACAGCAGCTCCACAGAGACGGGAAGGTGAGCAAAGGGGCCACAGATGTATCAGAGAAAGCACAAAGCACATAAAATCAGGGCAGGATTTTGCTGTATGTCAGGTTGGAAGCAAAAATATGCTGCAAACACACTGATTCTTTTGTCATTTTTTCCACTACGTTTGCCCTTGGAAATAATACCGCTTAATATTGCGCGACTGACATCAAATTATTTCTTATTCCTGGCAATGTAGTGCAGCAGAAAAGGAGAGTTATTGGTTGATGACTTGGAGAAGGAGATGAGACAGCGATTGGAACTGACTATTCCTGTTTGGCAAGATAAAACATCCCCCTTTCATAGACTGTTTTCCTCTATTTTCTTACAGAGAAATGTCTTATTCTGCACGCACAAAGGAGCCAAGATCCCAACGCCTGGCACAAAGGCTGCAGATCTGGGCTGTGCTGGAGAGCCAAGGGATGAACTGCACTTCTCCCTGAGCTCAGTGTGGGTAAGGGCACTGCTGACCAAACCAAACCAACTACAGGGGAAAACGTTCCACAGCCCAACAGGCACCGCAAGCATCGTGGCACTGCCGTGCTGGGAGGTCACAGGAGATGACACACAAACACAACACACCTCAGATTGAAAATAAACAGCAGAAAACCTTGTTGTTTTCCACGCTTTGAAAACATCTGCTAGGAATTAATGATTCAGCTCATACCTACAATTAAAGGCACGGAGAAAGAAAAAAAAAAAAAAAAGAGATTGGCTGAGCATCCCACTGTCGCTAATGCTGTTCCTGCAGCAACGCTTCTGCCTCCGGTGGAGCAAACCTTGGCAGCCATTCACCCGTTGGCCCGGAGCTGAAGGTGTCCCTGAGCTGCAGCCCTCCTGTCTGCCAGGCTCTGTGCTGCAGAGTGCAGCCAAGGGAGCACTTACAGGAAACGTCTCCAGGAATTTGCCAAAGCAGACGAGTAAAGTGCCTTATAAATAACCGTGCGTTATTGTTGTTGTTTACTAATGCAGCAGAGCATCCTTGGATCCTGTGCACCCATTAAGCTTCTTGCACGTCTCCCGTGGTCGCACGGAGACAAGTGTTGCTTCATTGCTAAACTCCGGGGAAACTCCATCTCCAGGGCCTCGTATCACACAGTGGTTCTGCTGAATTGCTGCAGACCCCCTCAGTTCAGCACATGGAAAAGCAAGGCAAGGCACAGCCCAGCCTCTCCATCCCTGCAAATACAAAGACCCTCATTTGCTCCCCATTTGTGAGGCTGCAGGGGAGGGACTCAGAACCACAGCCCCAAGGAGCAGCATTGCCAGACAGAGGTTTTCCTTCTGGATGGATCTCACAGCAGCGTGCCTTTCAGTAATTTCCTCCCTCGTTTAATAGGAATTTATTTAATTTTGTTTTGAAGATATGCAGTGCCGTTAATTGCTGTTCTAACATGTCTCTAATGATATATCCCTTCTAATTGTTTATTGCTTGCCTACCTCTTAAGTGCTTGAATGCATTCACAAATACTAATCTGTTCTCTGCACAATCAGCTATCCCACTCAGCAAAGTACAGCGAAGCACATTTAATAGAAAGACTTGCATTTGTTTTGCTGAACTCTATAGCAATCTCCTTGCTAGCTACGTTTCTTTGCAAACCATCTGTTAGCAAAGGTCAGACTGTAGCCTGACTTTGCAGATTTAGGCAGGTGAAATAAAAAGGAAGCAAGCAACGTTGCAAGTGACATCGCTTACAGCATAATGCAAAGTAAAATTTTTCAATTCTGACTTTTCAGAGAGGTGCTTCGAAGGCTCGTGTGCCCACTTAACGGGAGAACAGCTGAAGCCACAGGTGTGAGAGGCACTGATGGAACATCACAACCCAAAAGTGATGAACAGAGAGCATCCTACCTCATAGTGAGCCACGCGCTGGGACTCGGAGATCAGCTGTGCGCTGCACACTCTGCAGTAACTTTCAGTGAACAACTCCTGGTCAATGTCAGAAGATTTCATCTGTTCACGGCAACAAAGAGAAGAGACAACAAACAGATTTAGTTCCAAAGCACAGCAGAAGAGTTGTGTTTGATGGAGGTCCCCGTGGGCCAGAAGTCCTTGGCAGTGCAGGAAGGATGCAGGAACCTTCAGCTCTCTGCCCACACGCCATGCAGGCACCCATAGGTGTCAAACCCTGCATTGCAGCCACGCTGAGCCCAGGCAGAGCAAAAACCACCATTAGGAGCTTCCGAGAGAGGAAATTCAAACCAAACCAAAACAAACACCAGTGCAATTCAAGAGGGAAATAGAGGCCAATGCTTTCTGACTAATGCCAAGATAAAGCGTCTATTAATTCATAATCATAACAAACCCAGGCGCAATGAAGACTGATAATGTGGTTTTTATAGCATTTATTCTGCTGATTGGGAAGGAAAACAACACGACAATAACCGAGTTATGAGCTCTCATAGCAGGAGGCAGGCAGGGAAGGCCCTGCCAGCTGCAGGAAAAGCTCCTTTTGGTGTTCTGGTGTTTGGTGTTCCTTTGGGTTGGATCTGCCAGACAAAAGGTGCAAACCCCAGAGCTCCCCTGCTGCCCTCGCTCACCGATTCTGCAAATCACTGCTGGTTTACCCCCTCTTTCTTCCTAGGTTTAATCTTCATTTACTCTTTTTGCAGTACTGCTGTATTGGGAAACTTTCAAAGACGCCAAAAGAACCTTTTAGGAGTACAAGCAGTGCTGCAAAATTGCATCAAAGGCGAAATAAAGTGGAAGAAACAACCTCCGAAATACAACAGATTGACACGAGGCAAACCAAAGAATCTCATTAAATCTTAATCCAGCAGCCAAACAGAGGCACATCGCCTTCATCTGCATGCAGTCTGCAGCACTCACAGGATAAACTCTCACTGCAAAAATCAGAGTAAGTCAAAACTGCTCAGTGTTAGCTCAGCCCTTCCTGCTCTGATAACAGATCCCAGGTCTATTCTGCCTCTAAATTACATCCCTGTGAGTGGAGCTGCATCCCCCGTTTGCCCCCCCCCCCCCCCCCCCNNNNTCCCCTTTATTGCAGCAGGGGCTAAACAGGCTTATCCAGGAACAAGATTTAATGTCTTTTCTCTAAGCAGTAACTTCTGACTCGGAGATAGGATTTGTTAGCTTCAATATTGTCTGCTCGGTTTTATGCACCATTGTTACAACAGAAGGATGAAATGCATCCCAACAGGTGAATGCAGTGATTATGCTGACAACGTGAAAGCTCTGCAGCTTTGTGGAGTGATTCATGTGTAACTACTCAAGTTGCCTAATAAAGTCTCGCTGGAACAACAGACTCTAAAGTAATGCATCAGGAGCCCATGGCAGACTGTGTGAGACAATTAAATTAGTGTTAAAAGGTAACCGGTCTGGAAATCCTCTCCCTCAGACACCATCCCCAGTATTTACACGATGTTTGGAAGTGCTGGAAGTGAGGAATTACCACCGTGAGACCACACAGTGTGGCTGTGGTTCAGCCAAAGACTTCTGCTGTGTTTCCATGCACAAGCAAAGCCACAGCTCGAGGAGCATCGCTTTCACCCAACGAGCCAAAATCTGTGGCTGCTCAGCCTACAGCAGCATCCCCTACCAGCACCCACCTGAACAAGAGCTACCATTAAATCCCACACAGCCCAAGACTAAGTTTGAACTCAATGCCAGCTTCTGGCTTTCAGAAAACAGACTCTGACCTGTCCTACATCAGCATCACAGGAAGGCAAAAATCCCCTTCACTGTGCTTCTTCACTGCCTCTCTGCTGCCTGAGAGCAGCCCCACGTAGCCTGGAGTGCCACTCTGAGTGCTGCCATTTGTGCACAGCATTGTGCTGGCTTTTGTGTTCATTGATTCCTTCGCATTCCCAAAATATTTCTTTTATTTTCCATTTCCAGGAAAACAACACGTTATGACAGTATATCAAAAAGGTGCCAAGGAAACACGCAGCCGAACAAATGAACAAACACACACCTCTGCATCACATAAACCACTGCTGGAGGACACTGGGGACCCTGCACAGCAACTGCAGGACAATGCCAGCATCAGCTGGGACCCACCTGCAGAGGGGTCTGCACTGCAGGCAGCCCCACTGGTGGCATCTGCTGCAAGGGCTCCGTCTGCAGCAAAGGCAGATCCCAGACATGAAGCCTGAGGGAAAAGAAAACAGTTCTGTTGTGTCACTCCCTGACCTAAAAACAGCACTTTCACGTGCTCCAGAAAGGCCTTTCCCTCCCCTCCCCTCCCCGTGTCTCAGACACATTCTGTATTGTTTTGTGGGTCAGTGCCAGCAGTGATTTATTAACTTCCTCTACCTGAGAGTGTCATAAAGGGAGTCCATAAGCAATTAATATTTATGCATTTCTAATCACTTAATTCCTTTTAAACTCTCCCTGCCTACCAGCACCTTACAGAATTGCTGGGTTGGGATGATCCTCACCTGCACCCTTTACCAGAAGGGATCCAGGCTGTGCCCCACCAGCACCGTGCTGGAGAAGTGCAGATGCTGAGCAAGGAGAGATCTGTTCCCTGCATGTTCCCAGAGGTTTTCTTGCTGAGAGCTGAGGAATTAATGTCCAATTTACACCCTGCCAGCCAGACACAGCGAGCAGAAGCATCGGGCTGCATTGCTTGGTGTGAGCATCCAAAGCTCCTTGTCTGCTCCTCCTCAGGTGCAGATATGGGTGACGGTGCTCCCACCACAACCACCACCTCTCCTCCTCTCCCCACATTGGGGTTTATGACTCATTATTTCCTCACGTTAGCACTCAGGTTTTGGTGTTCCTCTCCTGCTCCATAACCTCTGCACATATCAGAATGGCAAACTGTCATGAGAGCCCTCATTTTAAATACCTTCTGCCATATGGCCACGATTCTTCTCAGCAGTTTCAGTGACTATAACGGCTTAATGAAAATCAATTTGATGGGGCTGACTCCGGTTTTTGGCAACCATTAGGAAGACGCTAAGTTGCATTCAATTTTTAGAGGGGAGAAATCAACATCTTGACACCAGAGACATCTCAGTGCTCTTTTCCAAACGCAACGGTTCTGTGATTCTATGATGTACCCAAAGCCACATTGCTTCTTTAAGGAGGCGTGCTGCAGCTTAAACCCAGCAGATGTGGCCACGTGCTGTGCCACGCTGGGATGTGAGCACCCAGCTCTGAGCCATGGAAGTGGTGCTCCATCACTGCTCAGTGTGAATTTCTGCAGAGGCTCGTTTTTCATGTTGCACAGCCAAGCACAGGGCAGCCTTCCTATAGAGCACTGAATTCAGCAACTCCATTTCTTGCAGTCAAGAGGAAAAAAATGCGGTCCTTCACACCATTTACTCTCAAGGGCCTTAATCACCTTTCCCAGAATTAACAGCTTCCGAAACCCCTGCACAGAGAAGTGACAAGTGAGCATGTGCACGAATGCCAAAAGCAAGCAAGCCAAAAATTAAATGCCCTGATTTTCATTTTATGAATTATTTGTGGCTGTCACTCTCTCATGGATTAACATCTCATGTAACACTTCCTGTTATCTTCAGTTGTTTAATTTGTCTTGCAACAACAACAACAACAAAAAAGTCTGTGCTAATAATTAATGTGCTTTCAGCAACTGTGTCACCGCACTTACAAGAAAGCATCTGAAGAAATGCAAAACACTGCCTTTTGAAGTGCTGTATTTCAACACTGTGATGGATGGTTGAGCCTGTTCCATGAGTTCAGTTCTCTTCGGGCTCTGCATGCTTTGGGGTTCAGCTTGCTCTGCTCCAAACCAGACCGCTCTGTGCTCCTCCAGCTGTGCTGCACATCTGTCTGCATCCCTTCCGTGCTTCACTTTCCCTGGTTCAGGGTTCATCCGCCACCTCCTTCCTTCTCTCCTCTCCCTCGAAATCCTCTCCAGCCTCAATTTGCCTCACTCCTGCCTTCACTCTTTGATGCATTTTGACACGCTTTATTGGAGCTTTGAAAATCAGAACAAGACTGTGTGTGCGGCGTGAGCTGGAGAGCAGGAGAAACGCTGCACGTGTCTGCTGCATGTGTCAAAACACAGAGGAAAGGCTGAGGGGAGCGACACGGAGGAGACAGAGCACGGACTCAACCTCTGCCTCCCAAAAACCAGCGCTGCACAACTTCCCCCATCCCCGGCAGCTCTGTGCTAGGAGCCACCTCAACAGAGACTCAGACAGCAAAGGAGAGAGTGTGCACGCAGCAGAGAACATGACCCAGTGCCATGGATTGCTGCACGGATGGCAGAGGTGGGATGCTGCAAGGTTTAAAGGGAGGGACGCTGCAATTCGGAGAGCAGCACCGTCCCTCCAAGGCGTGCAGCTGGTTATACCTACAGCTTGTTTGGATTATTCACACGGCTGCGGTGCGGCGGAATTTAATTGCGAACATGCTGACTTGAATAAAAATATATTTAAAAAGAAGACTGATCTATTGTGACTGATTTCATAAAGTTGGTGGGAACGGCACTAAGAGCAAAACCGTATTTCGTGCCTCACTTTGTGCCCAGCACACCTCAAGGACGAAGCTTTGGCACCTGCCCCAAAGCAGCCCGGTTGTGCAGTTCAGGCATTGTCAGCAGGGATGTGCCCAAAAGAAGGGGCCAAAGCAGCCCTCGTGCAGGCTCTGGGGACAAAGGGGCTGATGCATCCAAAGGCAGCAGAAGGACTCGCTCATATTGGGATGCAGGAGCCGATGGGGGGCAGGAAAGTGAAGCCCTGGGGCTGCGTGCTGCACAGCGGGCATCGCGGGGCTGGCACTGGGTGCCCAGCAGGCTGGCACACTGCAGAGCCAGGGTTACCATGTGATGCTCGTGGTTGCTATGGAAACAGTAGTTTCTCATGAAAAACACGCATCAATAGTCCCTGTGCCTCCCAGAGCAGAGTCAGCACTGCCAGGGTACGGGCACACAGGTCATGGGCTGCCCAGTGCTGGGTGCCAGGGCTGTGCTGCAGAGTGCTGTGCTGCTCAGCCCCCATGTGCAGTGCCTACCAGCA